CTGCAGTTCCCTATCCCACTCACTCACATGAAACATCAGTTCACGAAGGGTATCTTTTTCGTAACCAGGCAGCTTGAAGAGCCTGTTGTCCGCAGAACTGATTTTAAAAAAAGAAGCTAGGCAAAATGATACACAAAGCTGTAAGGAAATAGCATAGATCAAGCTTAAATAGCTCTCTCTCAGGGTGGGGGAAGAGGCAAGGGGGTCCTATTCCTATCTAACCTCCACGCTGTTAACAAAAGGAGCCAATTGAAGGGGAAGAAGTCTACCTTTTCTGAGTAATGAGGGATGTTTTCATTTAGTTTATTAAAGGAAGAAAATCCCTCCCCCCCCCCCACAGGAATGGAAACTCAACATCTAGTATAAAGAATACACATAGGACACTTAAAAACAGCCAGCCTAATTGAATGTCTTTCAGGAGACTAAAATGGGCATATTCCTTGGAACTCAAGAGCAAAACCACGTCATCAATCAGGCTCAAGAACACCTCTGATTTAGACCATTCAAGGAAAAATTCTCATATTTCAAGCCAAAAAAAAAAACAGAAAAGGAGAGCACCACAGCCAACATTGTTAAGAATGTAGCTGCATAGACACAATCTCAGAATCAGCCAGGCAAGGCATTCAATACGCACTATCTGGCCTCTGTAAAATAAAAGAAGCCATCGTCAGAGAAGAACAGTCCTAGGTTCAAGCAGCAGGTGAAGGGGCGGGGGGGGAAAGAAAGGGGGGAAAAGGAAACCAAATGGGAAGGGTGTACAGTGCTTCCTTACATGCACGCTGCTAGAACTCTCCACTGGTGGACTTGAAGCACTACACCCATAATAGCAGTACTGCTTTGGTTCCAGATCTACACATCATATCACAACAGTACTTAAGATGGGATTTTCAAAAGCACTCAGCACTGGTGTAGCTCTGCTCCCATGGAAGTCCATGGTGAAACGCCCATTGCAGTCAATGGAAGTTATTGACTTCAATGGGAGCAGTGCTACGCCAGTGTTGAGCACTTGCCCTTACAGACAGACTATAGAAAAAACAACGAGGAGTCCTTGTGGCACCTTAGAGACGGTTTATGTGACCATCACCTATTTGCACTGTAGTGTCCAGGAAGTGGATCTCTTCTGTGGACTGGTCCAGGTTGAGGTTGATGGTGGGGTGGAAATTGTTGAAATCCTGGTGGAATTCCTCAAGGGCCTCCTTCGCATGGGTCCAGATGAAGAAGATGTCATCAATGTAGCACAAGTAGAGTAGGTGCGCTAGAGGACAAAAGCTGAGGAAGCGTTGTTCTAAGTCAGCCATAAAAACGTTGGCATACCGTGAGGCCATGCAGATACCCATAGCAGTGCCACAAATCAGACATCAAGAATTGTAACATTCAAAAAACAGTAGGAGAGCACTTCAATCTCCCAGGACACTCAATAACAGACTTAAAAGTGGCCATTCCTCAACAAAAAAAACTTCAAAAACAGACTTCAACGAGAAACTGCAGAGCTGGAATTAATTTGCAAAGTTGACACCATAAATTAGGCCTGAATAAAGACTGGGTGTGGCTGGGTCACTACAAAAAGTAATTTTCCCTCTGTTGATACTCGCACCTTCTTGTCAACTGTTGGGAATGAGCCACATCCACCCTGATTGAATTGGCCTCGTTAGCACTGACCCCCCACTTGGTAAGACAACTCCCATCTTTTCATGTGCTGTATATTTATATCTGCCTACTGTATTTTTCACTCCATGCATCTGATGAAGTGGGTTATAGCCCACGAAAGCTTATGCCCAAATAAATTTCTTAGTCTCTAAGGTGCCACAAGGACTCCTCGTTGTTTTTGCTGATACAGACTAAAATGGCTACCCCTCTGAAGACTATAGAAGAACATCCTACATGAGAATTACCACATACAGCACAATCCCACAAACTTGTGAGGGGCTGAGCACCACAGGATTTGAGGGAGCCCTGCATCTCCTAAGACAGTGGTTCTCAACCAGGGGTCTGGGGCCCCTGGGGGACTGCAAGCAAGTTTCAGGGGGTCTCCCAAAATAAACCAGAGAGCAGGGCCAGCATTAGACTTTCTGGGGCCCAGGGCAGAAAGCTGAAGGGGGGGCTCAGAAAGAAAAAGGTTGAGAAACCCTGTCCTAGGAGTAGTTCAGTGCATCATAGCCTTGGACCCAAAAAGTGTGAGTTCACTGAACTTTTCACCAGACATACCACCCACTAGGTACATACCACCCACTTTCAAGGTCTATTCACAGTAAATACACAACTGATAGAGTTGAAGGTCAGAAGGAGCCATTACATCATCTAGCCTGACTTCATATCACAGACCTGTACATTTCAACTACTTACTTCTGTATTGGGCGTAATAACTTATGTTTGACTAAAGCACGTCTTCCAGAAGGGCATCCAGTCTTGAACTGAAGGCACAAAGGCATGGAGAATCCACCACTTCCCTTGGAAGTTTGTTCCAATGGTTAATAACCCTCACTGTAAAAATTTGTGCCTGATTTCTAAATTTGAATTTGTCCGACTTCAGCTTCCTGCCGTTGGTTCTTGTTCTGCTATTCTCTGCATTTTCTCCCCATGAAGTACTTACTGTAATCACGACACCTCTCAAATCTTCTTTTTGATAAACTAAACAGATTGAGTTCTTTAAGCCTCTCACTGTAAGGCATTTTCTCCAGCCCTCAAATCATTTTTGCGGCTCTTCTCTGCACATTCTCTAATCTTTCAATGTTCTTTTAAAAATGTGGACGCCAGAACTGGACACAGTATTCCAGCATATGTCTCACCAATGCCATATACAGAAGTCATGCACCTCCCAACCCCTCTTATGCTCTACTGCTCTGTTTATACACCCAAGGATTGCATTAGCCTTTTTGACTGCAGCATCGCATTGGGAGTTTGAGTTAATTGCTTGTCTGCTATGATCCCTAAATCCTTTTCAGAGTCACTGCTTTCCAGGATACTGTCTCCCATTCAGTAGGTATGGCTTGCATTCCTTATTCCCAAATGTGAAACTTTCCATTTGGCTGTATTAAAAACACATTTTGTTTCAATGGGCCCAACTTACCAGTGATCCAAATTTTATTAAGAGTGATTTGATATTTACTTCCAGATCATTGATAAAAAAAGAATGTTGAACATCGGGCCTAGTACCAATCCCTGCAGAACCCCATAGAAACATCCTATTCAAAGATGATTCCCTACGGATGACTTTTTGAGGACAGTTAGCTAGTTCTTAGCCTATTTAACGTGCGATTTATTGATATTTGTATAATGCTAATTTTTTTAATCCGAATGTCTTACGGTGTTAAGTCAAATGCCTTACAAAAGTCTAAATATATTACATTTATGCAGCTGCCTTTATGAACTAAGTGCATAATCTCCTCAAAGAATGAGAATTATATTTGTTTGACAAGATCTATTTTACAGAAAACCATGCTGACTGACATTGTATTTGTTTCCTTTAATTCTTTATGAACCGATTCCTTTATCAATCTTTTCCATTCTTTTGGCCAAGATTGATGTCAGGATAACCAGCCTATAGCTACCAGTCATCCCTCTTACCTTTTTTGAATATTGGCACAGCATTAACATTCTTCCGGTATTTTGGAATTTCCCTGGTATTCCAATAGTTCATAAAAATTAACATCAGCAAACCAGAGATCACCTCTGCCAACTCTTTTAGCCCCTTAGGCACAAGTTACATGGGCCTGTCTGTTTAAAAATGTGTATCTCTAAATAAACATTGTTTAACAGCCTCTCTGATTAGAAATGGCCTGAAAAGTACTTTTCATCCTCATGTGATACAAGCACATCATTGTGTTTCTTTCCAAATACAAACTAACAATTGTTAAGACGTCCTCATGACACACTCCAATGGTTCCTAAGTCCAAGAATTAAAAATACATAGGAACATTTTGCAGGAAAAAAGGAATAATTAGTGCAGCCATCCAGTTGGACCATTGCTAAACCAAATAATGGTCTTTTTCTGTTAATTCTCTCAACACAATCAAATACACTAGTTTATAGCCCATACTAACCACTCCTAGCCCTTGTATGCTTGGTGCTGTAAAGACAGAATAAGATGCAAATGCTGTTCTCAAGGGGCTCATGTTGTAATTCAGACACAGAGAATAGTCCAGACACCCATTACAAAACAGACTGATGTCACAGAGATGCAGGGTTGAGCGCTGGGAGTTTTTTTATTTGGTCTGTTCTAGGGGTTTTTTTGAGTATCAATTCTGGATTATGGTTTTGTGGATTATTAAGTCTGTAACAAGAAGATGATTTTAGAAGGAATTTTTACAGTCTTTTCAGGAGACCTTGGAAAATAGAATGATTATTGAGAAAGGGTAAAAAAGATTAGTAACTTGCGATTTGGTTTTAGCAAATCCTTAACATACAGGTTGTAGGTATGTATTTTGGTGAAAAACAGAAGAAATGTTTATTTCGGAAAAGAAAAGAACATTTATATTATGTTGTGACAGAAAGAATGGCGTTATAAAACAGGAAAGCTGACAGATCCTTATTACCACAGGACTACTAACATATTTGCTGTTCGAAAAATACTTGTCTCTGCTGTTCTCATTGTTTGAGAATGTGTTCTTATTGACACGACATGGATTTCCAGATTCTCTCTGACACACACAATCTTCTAGTGCACAAAATAAGCACCAGTCCTTTTCTGAAGGCTCTAGAATTTTAGCTTTCAGAACAATTACATCAAGCTATGGGGCAAAAAAAAGGAACTTTCAATGGATCAATTACAGCACAAAAATTGCAAGGACAAAATGCACAAAATCTCTTACATTCCAACTACCAGAATGCTGAAGTTCTTGAACTGCTCTCTTTAAATTACACCAATAATTAGGAACTATACTTATAATTGGTCTGCGCGCTACAGTAATGCAAGTCAAATTTAAAAGATCATTTATATCTCAGACTGGGAAAAGCTGTGCCTTCTAGAACAGTGAAATAAAAAGGAAACAAAGAAGTCTTACCATTTTGATGCCAGTGGAAAATGTGACTGGTTTAACTGGTCTGGGTTTTTCCAGCTGCATTTCTAGCTGCGTAGATCTGTCTTTATGTTGAGCTAAGAGCAGGGAGGCCGGCAGATGGGAACTTTCCTGTAAACATGTTGAAAACACAGATTGAAATATTCAAAAGAAAAAAAATTAATGCTGCTCATTCTTCAAGACTACAAATTGTGTCTGAAAAGGCCATCACCAGCAGAAAAAGGTTATGCTAAATATTCTCTATATGAGAAACAGTTTACACAAACGATCACTTTCAGTAATAGGAAAAAGCTGCAGCAGCCTCATAAATCAGCGTAATCTGCAAACAACCATTTTTATGGAATCCACATTAAAGACAATATAACAGAGTCCTTATTGCAACTGGCCAATGCAACCATATTTATTAAAATAAAAAAATTGGAACTTAATCACAGAAGGAGTAGTACAAAGTAGTATAACTTGAATCAGATGTTTATCTAAGACACATTCTTTCTACAAATGAATTCAGACCAGTTTGAAATTGTTTCCCATTAGATTTCACCTGAGGCCGTTTGGAAATGATCCTTGCTCTGCCTTGCACAATGGCACCATTGTAAGTGCAACCAACAGCATATTTATTTTCTCCTTTACCAACTTATTTTTAGGGAAGCCAGCCAATTTTAAAATATATAAGTAATAAAATAAATGGTTAACTTGTTTAACTACTTAAAATCTTACATTTAGGTTACAACAAAAAGATTAACATGTATACATATACCACATTCCAAGGAGAGGCAGACAAATTATTGGCTAAATAATTCTCTATTAAATTAGTCTGATTATCTCCGTGAACCCTGAAATCCTCTAACTTCTCTTTACTGTGGAAGCGGGGGAGGGGGAGATCAGAGCTGTTTATTCCCAGACTCCCTTGCTGCAGCACTTTATGCACAAAGCACTCAATACAGCATATACATTTCTGTTTTGGGGAACCAAGGAAATACTGCTTTGTGTTCCAAATTTGCTACTAACTTATAAAGCAACTGAACCCTCAAAGCCAGATTGTGACTATAAATATTTTATTTTTAAAAATTTAAGATAGAAAAATGACTGTCAATGGGAGTTCGGTGCCTAGGTGCCTTTGAAAATCTCCTGAAGTGACACAGAACCATCAAGCAGTGCCCATACTTACTATTGTAAGATTAATGCTCCCTCTTCATCTTTCCTATTGCTTGTTATGCTCACTCACTGACTTGTCTTAAAATAGACTGTGGGTTTCAGGGCTGAGATTGTATCTCACAATGGGACCTGATCTGGGGTGAGGGATAATACAAATGACAGTGAGGGACAGCACAGTCCTGCAAATGTCCGGGCACAGGTTCAGTACCCTTACTCTCTTCAGCATAGGGACTTCTCCCCTTCCAGTTTACATGCAACTGAAAAGAGAATTTGGACCACCCAAATTTGCTATGTTAGCACCTGAATCTCTGAGCACCTCCATGTCATCCAACACACTCACAGTCCAGGTGTGCACTACAAGTGCTGCTATTATCAGCAATAGTTGAGGAGACCCTATTGAATGCAATATTTTTTTAATTTCAGATTTAATGTGCGCTATATAGTTGGGGGGAGGGGAGGAGGGAAGTCTCCTTAGGCTTTTTGTCCTCCACTCACTTATCACATGTTTGTTGTATTTTCTCATGCGACACAAAAGGCAGCCAATTTCTATGCTCACTTCTCAGCAGTTTCTACATTAGCATAGAGATACACAGTTCTGAGAAATCAGCATTGCACCAGCAAACCACAGTGCTCTTGATTCACTGTTTGTCCTATGTAATAAGTGCAGCCTTTCTAGTTAACTATCACTACAGAGCAATAAAGAGAGAGATATCATAGACCAGATCCTGTAAACATTTATGTATACATGTAACTTTCCGTATGTGAAAAACGCATTGAAATCAATGCAACCATTTGCACCAGGATTGTTAATTATGTGCATAAGTGTCTGCAGGATCAGAACTCACAGCTCAGAGGGAAAGGATGTGGGGGGACTAAGATGACTAAGTTACCTTGGCATCTTCCTGATTCTGGGAGCAGGAGATACACCCCCCACAGCATAATTAAGACAGCCACGAGGGGCTAAGTCACAGAAGCCTGTCCCTACCTGCCTTCAGGCAGCATCACTGCCCAGAATTCCCACAGCACAATGTGCTTCATCCTTGCCTGGACACGCACTCCCAGTCCCACTCAGCCTCTGGCACACCCCCTGCATAAAAGGGCTGGGAGCAGGGCTGAGAATTTCAACCATCATGCACAGGGGAATTAATAACATCTCTAGCACTATTAGTATACAATCACACCACATGTTAATATTGTACTTAAAAGACAAGTTTACACATTTTGCTCAGACCCAGGATCTGAAAGTTTGGACAGGAAGAAGCACTGCTCAGCATGACCCATGAAGAGAATAAAGATTTAAATTACAACTGGTATTTTAGTGAAAAGTGGCAGCCATGGAGACGTCATTTGAAACACTGCCAGTATGAAATCTGTCTAGTCCTATATTGGGAGGGAGCACGGTGTTGCGGCTAGGACAATGGACTGTGATTCAGGAGACCTGGGTTCTATTCCTGGCTTGGCGACAGCCCTGCTGTGTGACCTTGGACAAGTCACATTACCTGTCTGTGTCTCTGTTTCCCCTTGTGCCTGTCTGGTCTACTTAAACTGTAAGCTCTTTGGAGAAAAACAAACAAACAATCTCTTATTATATTAGTATAGCATCTAGCACAGTGACTGAAGCCTCTGCTACTGTAATCCAAATAATAAACGTGTAAGAAGTTGTGAACTAGTCTTCAAACTTGCTTAATGTTCAAGCTTTAAAAGGGCAAAATTTTCTCTTGTTGCTGCATGAGACCTCTTAATTCTGCTATCTGTGTGCACAGCTCTCTCAGTAACTATGAATTCAGTACATGACTGGACAGCAGAATATTGGAGCTGAGATCGCATGTAAGCATCTGACAAATATTTGCCCTATGTTTTTTCGTATTGTCAAATCAATGTTAAAGCAGTTTGGAGAAAGCAGTGAAAGAAGTATACACTCAACTATTCTCTGTGCAACAATTCCTAAACAGACAGTGCATTAAGGAGAGACAAATTTAAAATTCATGGGTGAAATCCTGGCCTCTTTGGAATTAATGGGAGTTTTGCGTTTGATCAGTGGAGCCAGGATTTCACTCCTTATGTTGCTAAAATGCATATCTTTACCGATAGTTCTAATACTCCATTTTTAAACCCATTTTAACAATTTTCACTTACTTTGTTTATGTTGTGTTTATCTTTTTAATTTCTCTCAATGAAAAAAATGACATTTGTTTCGCTTCAGTTTATAGTTAGTTTCACTTTCAGATTTGTAACACAGCAATATTTAGACTTCAGGTACTTCAGGGGGGATGTTTAAAAATAACTGTTCTCAGAAATTTTAGGAGTTATTGAAGAAACTTATTTCTAATGGTTTTATAAAAGCATGATTTTACAAAACTAAGTTTTGAGCCAAATTTCACAGTCCACTTTAAAAACTAGAGAGACACACTAAAGTTTTCTAACTTTCTTTCTCTACTTTTAACATTACCTTTCTGTTGTTTTAAAAATATTTAGATATGTTTTAATAGCAACGCATGTGCAATCAGAGTTAAATTACCTATTTTGGTCATGTTATAAAGATTATTTATAACTGCTCTTTTCGCAAGCCATCTGGCGAACTGTATTTCCAGTAAAACCAACTGCTGTGTAAGAAAACAATGTTGGCCCCTACTAAATTAAAAAAGTGTATTTTAAAGCAGGATTGAACACACTTTTTAAAGTCAGAAACCAGTTCAAAACCTTTTTCCAAGCCATTAAGGAAATATACTGAGTGTACAGTGGAGTTATTAATTGGCCTGCTAGTCAGACTATGCCTAACTAAGCAGATCATGAGCATTATTACCTTAAAAGTTATAAGACTCTGCTGGATATAAAGTCTCAGATTGTTGGGGGATTTCCCTTTCTGTCGGGATACATCCACTGGAGTAAAACAAGGGGCCTTTCTGCACATCTATGCTGATGTCTAAGGAAAATGAAACACCAGCTCCTTTCAAAGAATCCAATAAAAGGCTGCCACGAACCTTGGCCCCGGGGCAAGGCAGTTCCTCAGCACAGTCCCTAAAACCGTAAAACAAACTCCTAAATCACATAACACCAATATCTCTGCATTTTAGTGGATCTCCCATTGGGTCAAAGAAGAACTCTGCATTCTCAGGAAGGGAAGAAAGTAAGTCACATCTTCAAAAGGAACCAGAAATAAAATGCAAGAGAACTGGATTAAATGTAACTTTAATGTGAGAACCAAAGCAAAGCGAAGAAATTCAGAATCAAGGTTGACACGGCAGCCTTAAAACACCCTACTGGCATAACAATATTTTTTAATATAGATTTCCATGCTTTTCTGGTTTTTCTCTGCCCATATTTTTATTTATAAATGTGCATGCGCGCACACACACACACACACACACACACACACACAATTTTAAGACTCTCTCATACAGTGCATGAATGTAACAGTATGTTGAGCTGTAAATCCAGATTAGACCACACATGCAGTGCCTAGGTTGCCCTGTGCCCCTAAATCACCATTGAATTTTTGGGTGCACAAAGAATGGTGGAGTAAAGAAAATCTAGAAGCAATCCCAGAAAGTAGGTCACTTTCCAAAAGTTTTTAAAAATAGCTGACCACTATAGATTTCCAAGAACATACTATACCTAACTTAATAATAAAATAAGACCTCTTTTCTCACTAACAGTTGTCAATATGCCTCCTATTGTTTGCTAATATTTTCAGTGCACCAAGCAGATATTCTAATCCTTTACAGTAATTTCTTACAGAAGTAGGGATGGGGAGCAGTCAGTTGCTAATTTAATGGATGGGCTGGGTAGACTCACTGGGATAGCCTTTCTGAAATCCCAGCACCTCTAATGGTCACAATGAAGTACAATACAGAACACAGACTCTTTAAAACAGGCTTGGAGGGGAAGAAACGGGATGAATTACAGAGAGAAGCAGCCAAAAACATAACAAAAACACCTTCTTACTCAGTCCAATCTCCTGCATTTTGCACGATTACTCCCTGCATCATTCCTGTTAGTGTCTTACCAGATCTGTTCTCAAATGTTTGTAGGATGAAAAATTAAAAAATAAATATGAAATGTACAAAACTGATATTTTGTATCAACAGCATAAGTAGTACAAGTCCACGTCTGAAGCCACAAGAACGGAATTTAAAGCTCAAAATCTGTAGTTCTGTTTTGATACCCACCAGTTCATCCAGAAGTGCCTGTTTATTCTTCCTTTTTATAATCTGTTGCATTTGTTCCTCTTTCTGTATGAACAGTCGCCTTTGCTCATTTTCCTGTCGTTCCACCGCTAAAGCTTCCTCCAGCTCCTCTTGCTCCCGAGTCTAAAACAGGAATATTCAAAATTTATTATTGGAAAGGATTCGACATTTGGCAGATAAAGTGCTGCCACGGCACCCTTCCTCCAAGTAAAGGGTGTTATCCTACAGGGGCGGCTCTAGCTTTTTTGCGGCCCCAAGCACGGCAGGCAGGCTGCCTTCGGCGGCATGCCAAAGGCAGGTCCACCGGTCCCGCGGCTTCAGCGTACCCACCACCGAATTTCCGCTGAATCCGCGGGACCGGCGAGCCTCCCACAGGCAAGCCGCCGAAGGCAGCCTGCCTGCTGCCCTCGCAGGGACCGGCAGGGTGCCCCCCCCGGCTTGCTGCCCCAGGCACACGCTTGGAGCGCTGGTGCCTGGAGCCACAGCTGTTATCCGAATGTCTTTGGCAGGGATCTAGAGACAGGCAATGAAAATGATTAGAGACATAGGTAAAGGCAAAAACTTCCTATGAAAAGCCTGCAACTCTCTAGTTTACAAAGGAAACAAAATAAGAGGGTACAGGATAGGGAAAGTGAATTTGGTGCTCCTATTCACCCTCTCTGACAATACAAGAGCAAGGGGAGATTCAACTAAACTGAAAGGCAACAAATCTAAACTGATCACTTATTTAAAAAAAAAAAATACAGTGGATAATTAACCAGTAGAATGTATTGCCACAAGAGATCATTGAGGCCAAGAGTTTATTAGGAGTCATATCCATAATGAGAATAACCACAGTTACATCAGACAGGGATATAAACACGTATGCTTCAGAAATAAGCCAATCACAAACTGATGGGGCTTAGGAAGAATGACCCCCCCATGGGCAGGTTATGCCATAGTAATCCCCTATATTGTTTCATGCATCTTCCTAGAACATAAGAATGGCCATACTGAGTCAGACCAATGGTCCATCTAGCCCACTATCCTGTCTTCCAACAGTGGCCGGTGCCAGATGATTCAGAGGGAGTAACAGAACAGGGCAATTTATCAAATGATTCATCCCGTCGTCCAGTCCCAGCTTCAAGCAGTGAGAGGTTTGGGGACACCTAGATCATGGAGTTACATCTCTGATCATCTTGGCTAATAGCCATTCATGGACCTATCCTTATCTTATCTTCTTATCTTAGAACTTATCTAATTCTTTTCTGAACCCAGTTATGTTTTTGAGCTTCACAACATCCCCTGGCAATGAGTTCCACAGGTTGACTGTGCATTGTGTGAAGTTCTTCCTTTTGTTTGTTTTAAAACTGCTGCCTACTAATTTCATTGGGTGACTCCTGGTTCATGTGTTATGTGAAGGGGGAAATAAAACTTCCTTATTCACTTTCTCCACACCATTCATGATTTTATACATCTCTATCATATGTCCTCATTTGTGTCTTTTCTAAGATGAACTGTCCCAGTCTTTTTAATCTCTCCCCATATGGAAGCTTTTCCATACCTCTAATCATTTTTGCTGCCCTTCTCTGTACTTTTTTTAATTTGAATACATCTTTTTTGAGATGGGGCGACCAGAACTGCATGCGGTATTCAACATGTAGGCATACATGGATTTATACAATGGCATTAGAATGCCAGGGGTTCTGACAGAGGTGCTGAAACAATTTTTATAGTGGGGGTGCTGAGAGCCATTGAACCAAACTGTAAATCCTGTATATAATGGAATCCACTTCAAGCCAGGAGATGTGGTAGCACCCCTAGCACTTATGCCTTCTGTCTTCTTAGCTATCCCTTTCCTAACGTTCTCTAACATTGTTAGATGTTTGCCCGCCGCTGCACATTGAGCAGCTGTTGTCAGACAACTATCCACAATGACTCCAAGATCTCTTTCTTGAGTTGTAATAGCTAATTTAAACCCCTTTGCTTTGTATGTATAGTTGGGGTTATGTTTTCCAATGTACACTACTTTGCATTTATTTACATTGAATTTCATCTGCCATTTTCTTGCCCAGTCACTCAGTTTTATGAATTCCCTTTTAAGTCTTTTCAGTCAGCTTTGGACTTAACTATCTTGAGTAATTTTGTATCATTTGCAAACTTTGCCACCTCACTGTTTACCCTTTTTTCCAAATCATTTATGAATATGTTGAACAGCACTGGTCCCAGTACAGATCCTCAGGGGACCCCGCTATTTACTTGTCTCCTCTGATGCATCTGATATTGGACAGTCAGACAGGATATCAGACTACATGGACCTCTTGTCTGATCTGATATGGCAATTGCTATGTTCCTACAAGTTATACATAACCTGAATGATCTTTGATTTCAGAAAAGGAAATACAATGCATCACCTTTGCCCTCACTGCTTTATACACATACATGGATATATGGAGGAGCTCTCTATTTGTTAAAACAACGAGGAGTCCTTGTGGCACTTTAGAGACTAACAAATTTATTTGGGCATAAGCTTTCGTGGACTAAAACCCACTTCAACTCTCTATTTGTTGGTACTACTCCAGTCTAACACCTTCCTTCACAAACAAGGGAAACTCTGGTTCTCAGAAGGAATGGTTCAAATTTATTATTTTCAGACTCCAAACTCCTAACATGAGTGTTGAGTGCAAAAGGAATGCACGATCAGGCCTTATTGTGTCATTTCTGTTACTACAGTTGCCTGAATTGAAACATTTTCTTCTCAAAATAATGTATATTTTTAATGCTGGAAGAAACACTTAAAACATTGACAAAGAGTCCTGTGGCACCTTATAGACTAACAGAAGTATTGGAGCATAAGCTTTCATGGGTGAATACCCACATGCGTCTGATGAAGTGGGTATTCCCCCCCAAAAGCTTATGCTCCAATACTTCTGTTAGTCTATAAGGTGCCACAGGACTCTGTCGCTTTTTATAGATCCAGACTAACATGGCTACCCCTCTGATACTTAAAACATTATAGACAAACTTCTTTTTTTTAAATAAATAAAAAAAAATCCTTGCCAGGCTACTTTTAAAGGAGAGCAGAACTTTGTCTGAATCATATTTTAATAAAAAACCTAAAGGAAAGTATGCGTAGCCTGCATACAGAACACGTATTTTATAACCCTCTAAGAAGTAGTATCATCATTAGCACTTAAAAAGGCTTTTGTCTTGTTAAAGTATAAAAGTTTGTTTCACTATCACTCGTTTTAAATTTTGCATAAGCCAGGCCTTTGTTTTCCCATTCTCCAACTCTCTCTTGGGAGCTTCATAATGTCTGTGTCTGGATTTTTTTTTTCTTCCTTTGGATGAGAAAGAAATTATTGTTCTGGAGTAGGAATGAACCCAGTCTCTTCTGGATATTGTCCAAATACACTGCCAGCATACATATGTTTGGAAGAGCCTGCATTTACTACCTAACTATGTCAGTCCCTCTCTCTAAACCCTCGTCAAAACAACAAGCACACAAAATTCAGCTGTCAACATGATCTCCTGAAGCAAGCAAATCTTTGATAGAGAATACTTGCATATCACATTTTTCTTACTATGGAGTGTGTCAGTATGCGTGTCGGAGTTTCTTCTTTTTTCTTTTCTCCTTTAAGACAGCATTTTACAACTATTCCTCTTTAAAATACTTAATTCCTCAACTACTGAATAAGAAATTTTTTTTAAAACAGCAAACTAACCAGTTTTATCTTGTTTTTCTGAATGACTTCTTTGTTATCCTTCTGGTACATATCCATTTTCTTTTTGGTGTTCTCCAAATCCACATTGTTCGTCAAGTTAAACACTGTATTGATATTTAAAAAAAGATGCATGAAATCATAGTATTAACCTGGTGTACACCCCCCCCCCCAAATAAGTATTACCTTTATTTAATGCTCCTTGTCCCTACCACATTAGCAGCATATACCTAATTGAATATGTCATAAAGTCACTTGGACACACGAAGGCCAGATCCTGATCTTTGTTACATCACTGTCAACTCCATAGCAACTTAAATTTACTTGGAGTTCTTGTAAATTTATACCTGCATAACTGAAATTAGAACCTGATCTTTTGCTTCCTTCATGGGATACTGGTAGCGTAATCCCTTGAACAGCATCAATAGCCAAGATACACAAAAACTGGCCTTTATAACAACAAGTAGTTTATGGCTAAGAAGAACCTAAACCAGAAGTCCCCAAATTGTGGGGCAACCGCCACCCCAGGAACACTGAGGAGCATTCAAGGTGTGATGGCAGGCTGGGCCAGCCCCAACTGGGGGCTGGGAGGGAGTGCCACCCAGCCCCTCCCCACCCCCAGCCACAGCCCTGGCTCCCAGACCTGTGCATAACTCCATCCCCAGCCTTGGCGCGGCTCTGGACCTGGCCAGGGGCCCGGGCTGCCAGCCCCCACCGCAAACTGACTGTGGCTCTGCTCCTGCTCTCCACCTCGGCCCCTGGCCATGGCTCCATCCCTGACCCCCAACCCAGCCTCAGCCCCCTTACCCTTGTCCACATCCCTCCCCCCCCCTTCCCCAGCTGCAGCCCCGTTCCTGGCCCTGGCTCCAGGGGGGCAGGGGATTGCGGACAGGAGGAATGGGGAGCAAGTTTGGGGGCCACTGAACTAAACTAAGTAGAATACACACACACACACACACACACACACACACACACACACACACACACACACACACCCCTACCCCTCATTACAAACGAGGCCCTTCCATTTCCTCTTGGCACAAGGGCTTTGACAGGACTTTATTGCTTTACTATACGGTGGAAATCTAGATTTCTATATTCTTTAAGAGTTCCGAAGCGCAAGGACGCACAGTTACATTTGCGCTTGCTAAAAATCTCCACATTTATGCAGAGATCCATAAAAAGAAAACAAGTTAACCTATTACTCAATGCTATGTGTTGTGTTAAACCTTCTTTGTACACAACAAATATTAGGAGGATTTTCCTCATTTAAATTATGCAACAAGATGAAGGATATGCGGCCAGCCCCCTTTGTTTCGCTGAACATTCTCAATCATGTATATCTGAACTAAAGTTGCCTCCACGAATAGAGCAGCTTCTGTAGCAGGCAGATTGAAAGAACTAGGTGTGCAGGGGATTAGTAATTAGATACAGAGCCTTCACCACTAGGTCACTGGTTCAAATTGGGGTCAAGTCAATTCTGACTCAAAGTCATTATCACATGAAGATCATTTGGTGGCCTCAGTCCAGTTCAGAGTGGACACCAGAGAGATCACCATACCCCTAAAACTAGTATAGATGGCAACCCACTCAGCGCGAATCAACCTGGACACTGTACAGTCCAGTCACACTCTTTATGTGGCCCCTCCAGAACACGGATCAGGTCCATTGACATGAAAGAGCAGGGAAGCTCGCACTGTCACTGATAAACCCCTCACAAACTAGAAAGGACACAGTCCCGGCCACAAAGAGCACACACAATCTGAATCGTGAGGAGAGGAAGGATGTTCCAGTGGCTAAAGTGCTAGCCTGGGAGTCAGGAGTTATGGGTTCAATACCTGCTCTGCCACAGACTTCTTGTGTAACCTTGGACAAGTCATTTTGTCTTTGTGCCTCAGTTTTTCCCCATCTGTAAAATGGGGATAATAGCACTGTTCTACCTTGTGGTGCTGTTGGGAGAAAAAATATATTCAAGATGGTGAGATGCTCAGATACCCCAGTAGTGGTGCCTTATATTATATAAGTGGTGTGCCGAGTCTTCATTTATTCACTCTAATTTAAGGTTTCGCGTGCCGGTAATACATTTTAATGTTTTTAGAAGGTCTCTTTCTATAAGTCTAATATATAACTAAACTATTGTTGTATGTAAAGTAAATAAGGTTTTTAAAATGTTTAAGAGGCTTCATTTAAAATTAAATTAAAATGCAGAGCCCCCGGACCGGTGGCCAGGACCCGGACAGTGTGAGTGCCACTGAAAATCAGCTCACGTGCCGCCTTCGGCACGCGTGCCATAGGTTGCCTACCCCTGGTCCAGATCATTAATGAAGATGTTGAACAAAACTGGCCCCAGGACCGACTCCTGGGGCACTTCGCTTGATACCAGCTGCCAACTAGACATTGAGCCGTTGATCACTTCCCGTTGAGCCCGACGATCCAACCAGCTTTCTATTCACCTTATAGTCCATTCATCCCATCCATACTACTTTACTTTGCTGGCAAGAATACTGTGGGAGACAGCATCAAAAGCTTTGCTAAAGTTAAGGTATATCACGTCCACTGCTTTCCCCATATCCACAGAGCCAGTTATCTCATCATAGAAGGCAATCAGGTTGGTCAGGCATGACTTCATAGAACCACAGAATATCAGGGTTGGAAGGGACCTCAGGAGGTCATCTAGTCCAACGCCCTGCTCAAAGCAGGACCAATCCCCAACTAAATCATCCCAGCCAGGGCTTTGTGACTTGCCCTTGGTGAATCCATGTTGACTATTCCTGATCACTTTCCTCTCCAAGTGCTTCAAAATGAATTCCTTGAGGACCTGGCTACATGATTTTTCCAGGGACTAAGGTGAGGCTGACCCGTCTGTAGCTCCCCGGATTCACCTTCTTCCCTTTTTTAAAGATGGGCACTATATTAGCCTTTTTCCAATCGTCTGGGACCTCCCCTGTTCGCCACGAGTTTTCAAAGATAAAGGCCAATGGCTCTGCAATCACATCAGCCAACTCCCTCAGCACCCTCGGATGCACTGCATCCAGCCCCATGGACTTGTGTATGTCCAGCTTTTCTAAGTAGTCCTTAACCTGTTCTTTCACCACTGAGGGCTGCTCACTTCCTCCCCATACTGTGCTGTCCAGTGCAGCAGTCTGGGAGCTGACCTTGTCTGTGAAGACATGGCAAAAAAAAGCATTGAGTACTTCAGCTTTTTTCACATCATCTGTCACTAGGTTGCCTCCCACATTCAGTAAGGGTCCCACACTTTCCCTGACCACCTTCTTGTTACCCTTCATATCCTTTGCTAGCTGCAACTCCAATTGTGCTTTGGCCTTCCTGATTACACCCCTGCATGCTCAACCAATATTTTTATACTCCTCCCTAGTCATCTGTCCAAGTTTCCACTTCTTGTAAGCTTCCTTTTTGTGTTTAAGCTCACCAAAGTTGTCTCTGTTAAGCCAAGCTGGTCGCCTGCCATATTTGCTGTTCTTTCTGCACATCGGGATGGTTTGTTCCTGCGCCCTCAATTCGGCTTGTTTAAAATACAGCCAGCTCTCCTGGACTCCTTTCCCCCTCATATTAGCCTCCCAGGAGATCTTGCCCATTAGTTCCCTGAAGGAGTCAAAGTCTGCTTTTCTGAAGTCCAGGGTCCGTATTCTGCTGCTCTCCTTTTTTCCTTCTGTCAGGATCCTGAGCTCGACCATCTCATGGTCACTGCTGCCCTCTATGCATGGAAGTGCTCAGTAATTCAACAGGACACAAGTGTAGCTGATAGACTATTTCTAATTTTTTAATCTAATAGGCAGGAACACATCTCGCTGGTTCCATTAGCTTATGTTTGTCCATTTAATTTACATCCTGTCTTCACTCACACTTTGCATAGGTACAATGGCAGAAGTGAGCCTCTGGGAGAGTTCTGAAGTAGGCAAGGGAGCGGTCTCAGCCCACAGATCGGGCGAGGGCATTCCATGCATAAAAGGGCAGCAAAGAAGTGGTGGGAGTGGCAGAAGGGAACAAAAGAACAAAGCAGGTATCATTGGCAGAACAAAAAAGGAGACACACAATGACAGAGATATAGGTTGCTGCTGAGTAGCTTTTGGTCTGGAATGAAGTGACAAGGAGCTGGAACCAATGACAGTGGCACAAGAATGGTGGTGGGGGCATGACGCCACTCATATTTCAAACAAAAGTAACTTTGGAAAAATACAGCACACTCTTGTAACCAGTGAGTTAGCATTCATTTTCAGGAAGCATGGCTAATTCCATTGGTCTGGGTTTTAAAAAAAAAAAAAAAAAAAAAAAATTATTAGTATAGCATCAATAAAGCATGACAAACTTTTGTAGCTGCCTAAAACATTTAGGGATAGCTAACATAATATATCTAGTTTTCACCCTGACACATCAACGGGAATCATGGGCCTAGGTTCCCACCCAGAGAGCTCAATATTTATCCCTGGGTGACGGAAATTTGTAATCCCTTCAACTGGAGCAATTGGGCTGAATGTGATGAATATAAAGAGGTGTGGTAGATTATAGCCAAAAAACAAATGAACAAATGCTTTGTATCCCTTTCTTACAAGGAAATAATGATCGAAAGGGTTTTCAATTTATTTTAACCTGACTTTCAGAATTGATGAATCCCACAACCCCAGACTGACTTCAGAGTTATTTCGGAGGCAGGATGGTCTTGCGGCTTAGGCCCTTAATTGGTACTCAGAAATCTGAGTTTAATTCCCAGCTCTGCCACACACTCCCTATGTGACATTGGGTAAATCATTTAACGCCTCTATGTGTCTCTTTCCTCAGCTGTAAAAATGGGAAAAATAATACTTCTTTTCTCCCACACTTCATCTACTTGCTCTATTTAGATTTTAAGTTTTTAGGGCAGAGACTATCCCTTATTATGAGCACCTATAGCACCTAGCACAATGGACCCTTGACCTCAGCTGGGGCCACTAGATGTTGTAATACAAGTAAATAATAGTGAATGCTCTCTACCTTTGAAAGCTGGGCCCTTGTGTTTTGAGGGAGGTTGCTCAACATGGATTTTCATTTTTTACGCTGCTCTCTCCCAAGAGAGAACATTTTTCAACATTATATTGCTCTGAAATCTTAG